GTGGATAGCAGCCCTCAAATTTCTTCCTCTTGGTGTGCATAGCCGTGACCCCCAATGTTGGTGCTTTGCGTTGAAGTCACCACCTGCTATGAAACATCGACCTAAGCTTTGGAAGAAGTTGCAAAACATCGAAGATGTCAGCACATATCTTGGAGGACAATAGATGGAAGCTAGTGTCAATGTGTTGTGTTTCATGTATAGTGTGATGCCTGTGGACTGAATGTCAGGTGTAGTTGGTAAGTGTAAATGGTTGTGTGATAAAGAAGATCTTATAAGTATAGCAGTGCCGCCGTGGGCAGTGTTGTCGGGGTGGTCTGTCCTGTGTGTCACATAACCAGAAATACCGAATTTCGATCGTGGTGTAAGGTGAGTTTCCGTTATCAGGGCTACATCTATACGTTTTTCATGAAGATAAAAGTCCAGTTCAGTTTTGTGTTGTGCCAGTCCATTTGCATTCCACAGAAGGATGGACAAAGAGCCTGCAGTCAGCTGATTAGCGGTCATTTTGTGGATACATGGCTTGAGTCACCTGTGCAAGCTGTTGGAGGATAGTAAAAAGGGGCTGTATGAGGGAGTTTAAACCATTGAGTAATTGGAGCAATTGAGGTGGGGCATTATTTTCAGCTGAAGGTGGCTGCTGAGTAGTTTCCCGCCTCATACCTGAACATGATGGTTTGATGTGAGCAGATGTAGTAGCATTATCTCTTCTTGTCATCTGGTTTCTTGATGGTTCCTGCAGCTGAGCTGGCGTAGCCTTCTGCGAAGAATTTTTTTGTATCGGCTGCTCTTTTCGCAAGGGCTGCGGAAGAGTCGGAAATTCTTCGAAACTTGGTGGTGGAGGGAGAGGTGGGGATCTAGGAGGATGGTTGGTTCTTGCTGTTCTCCTATGCGCCCTCAGATCCTTCAGGACTTGGCATCCTCGGTAGTTGGCCGGGTGGTCTCCAAGGCAGTTTGCGCAGGTTGCCTTTGTCTCCCTGGTCTTCAAGCAGGATACACTTTCGTGGCCTTGGCCACACTTAACACATCGTGGAGAATGGTTGCAGTATGATTTTGTATGACCATATTGTTGGCATCTTATACACTGAGGTATAATTCTTTTTTTTCGAGGCTCCTCAACAACAATTTTTGTATAATAAATTGATTCGATTTCATAAATTTTTTCATTGAAAGTAGCCTTTGTTATGTCTATGAAAAACATGGGCAAAGGTTTTTTGAATCGAGAGTATACATTTGTGATGTTTGTTGCAATGTAACCATGTTTTTCTAAATCATTTTTAATTTCAGAGATTGGGGTGGTGTGGTGCAAATTTTTAATGACAATTCTTCTATTTTTGTCCTCAGGTAGCTGATATGTGTGGAATTCAGCACCTCCATTTCTAAGACTACTAACTAGTTTACGGTATACGTCAGGTGTTTTCGGGTAAACTGTTACACCTTTGATAGTTGTTTTCAGAAAAAAAGAATTTGGAGCTGCGTTGTTTTCAAGGAATAGGACCAATGCCTGATAATTTTGAACGTCGTTTATGTGTATTGGTGGTGGTTTTTCGTTTGTTTGAACATTTACTGCGGATTGTTCATTTTCGGTAATGGTATTAAGTACATCATAAGAATTACTTACAGATATTGGAGTTGTTACATTTTCTGTTTCGGTTTTTTTGTATTTTCTCGGATCCCTAGATTCATTAGGAAAATTTCTTTTTTTACCCGTTACCAATGCCCAAGCATCACCACAAGTAGCGTCGATTAAGTCCATCCTTTCGTCCCTTACCACAACATTTGTAGTTGGGTTGGGATCCATTTTTTCGGTGGATATCACCTTCAACTACGTATGTTCACTTTCACACCTTCTTCCTTCAACTTCGAAAAAGAAAATTTTACGTTCCTACTTGAAAATTCAAATGAAAATTCAAATAACCTTTTTAGTTATTAAATCTAAGGTGTTTTGCCCTAATGTATTGACAAGAAACTACTTCTTGTATGAGACCATTCCGTTTATTATACAAGTGCTATAGAATTCAATAAATAATTTGAATTAATAATTAGATGTTTTATTAGATCGCATAACTTGTTAGTCAGGTACATAATTAATTCAATTTAGTTTAAGTTTTGAGACTAAAATTCAAGAATATTTATTCAAGGGGTTATCCTTACATAAATAGTGTGGGTACATCCGTATGTGTATTATCATAAAAGAATACATATATACACGTAGGTATACGTTATATTGGAAGAAAATAAAACTGTGATAAATGTCTATACTTGTTGAGGTACAAACAATCTTGTGAAAATCTATTGAGATTCTGTAATATAAAAAAGAAATTTTTTTTTAAAATAAAGTCTTCCGATAATTTTTTTTATTTTAGTTTTTGTGCTTTTGGAGAGTATTTTTAAGGAAGGGGACAGATTCGCATTTCACATGTTTCAAGTTAACTTGGCATGGAAATTCCGTACTTCCAAACCTAGTTTTAATTAATTCCAACTATTAGATAAAATATGGCTATTTTATCAATTGATCGATAAAAAAATAATCTTCATTGTGGTCTTATACTATTTTTTTTTTTAATAGGAATGTCGAATTCTATTTACGATTATTTTTTTCCCTATGATATTTTATTTTTTCTGTGATATTTTATGTTGTTCTTATTTCGCTGTATTTTATTTTGAAATTACCTTATATATTATTTGAATTTGTAAATATGGTGTGAATGTGCTCTCTGAACTTTATCATAAATGTCCTTTATTGAGACAGATTGTAATATTTATCAATAAACAAATAATCAATCACAATTTTTTTTCAACTTACAATTCCTTCTTTTTTTTCCAAACCCAGAGAGGGTTCCATTAAATATACGTAGTAAGCCTTGAAACCATTTGTTCATATTTTGTGATTCCTTTCCTTTGATTTAATGTTGTTCATTTATAGAAAAAAAAAATTTTTTTTTTCTTTTCTTCCCATAATAGGCTGTAAATTGTAATATTCAATGAGTTTCAAGATTTGCTTGAATTTCCAAAACTATATTATATCCGCGACTTTACATAGTTTGTTAAATTAAACTTCAATGGTATCAAGAAGTTTAACTAATTAGTTATATACAATTAATTAACTGTTATGTTAATTTGATATTTGTTTACTTTTAAAAAAAAAAAATTATTGAGAAAAAATACATGTAATACATACTCATGGTTAATTCAACCCATTCATACTGTATACTCGAGGAAACATTTTGATCTAAGAGGAGTTATTTATGAAAGTTATTTTTAATTATTTTATTTTATCAGCAGCAATCGTAATAATATAATCGCCGCTAAAAATTGATAGCTTTGCACATGTGTTGATAATTATAAAACAAGCAAACGAGTTAATTATCAATGCGTGTCATAATTGTTGAGTAAACGTGCGTTAGCTATCTTATTGTCTATATCTATTGTAGTACCAATTAGAATAGCGAAACAAGAGAAACGTTTTATATCGTTTGTGAACAGTAAAATATTTGTTTATGTTAGCAGTGACTTAGTCACTGTTGACTGTCTGTCAGTGAATAAAGACGATCATTGCTTTTGTCATGCAAAGAATTGGCTAACACAATCTCTCGCTTTCGACAATGCCTGCAGTATCGTGTTTGTTTGCTCTTGATACTGTTATTTATACTGCTACCTAAATATTTTTATTACGTTAAAAAATCTATTATACACTTTTCATAGTCTATAGTACTAAAAAAGGTAATTAAATCAATTTTTTACTTCCACTTACCTGTAAATAAATTATATAGTAAAGGACTGTGTTGCGATTACGAAAATATTCGAATCTGGTTTTTCAACAGAAATAGATGTTTTGAGATCTACTGATTGTGTGCGTGTCTGTGTGCATGTATGTGACCAGTATAGCTCAAAAAACAAAAATCGTATGAAAGTGAAATTGCATATTTAAGGTTTGTATATACCTGAAATGTTACAGCAACTTTTTCTTCAAAATTCGATGTTACACATTTTTACGATTTTCTCGAAACGGCTCAAACGATTTTGATCAAACTCGATATATCAGTGTATTATTAAGTGGTCTTTAATATCAGCTAGATCTTATAGACATTGATATCGCCTAACAGGACTTAGTTCAATATGTCTTCTTCTAAAGTACCTTCAATTTGATTTATTTTAAATAATTAACTATATCTCATTATTAGGCGGTGTAAAAAAAAGGATAAATATAGTTTTTGAAAGAATTTGATAATTGAATAAAGGAGAAAAAAATAAAAATACTTATCAAGGTCGAAAATGAATCTCCGGAAATAACAGTCCGGAAAGTATACGTATAATAAATATAACGTTGAAAAGCGGAGAATTTTAGAAAAAACAATATCTAATATAGAAAGTTGTAGAAGGTAACGCAGAATGACGAAAAATATACAAAAAATAATTTATGATAACTAACATTATTTAACGTAAATCACACGTTTCCAACGAATTATCTTACAAAATGTAAACTTTCAATTTTTTTTATTTTATTTGAAAAAGCTTCTAAAATCAACCAAATCAAGGCAATGGCATTGTTTAAAATACTATTTAATTTTACTTGTGTGAAAGAAGAAGTAAAATATAAAAATATTTCATGGTGATGGATTATAATTATAAATACATTTAATACAATTTAATAACTCTAGATCTGATGTTATATTTAAATAATTAGGTATCAGTCGCCCGTTTATTCCGAAAAATCATCATGTAACCTTTCATAAAATTAAATTAGTAAAAAGTTTGATGTTTTTTCTCTTTGTAATATCCCAACTATATTTATAATGAAGCATATATATGTATATAGTTAATCTGTTATATAAGTTTTCTCCATCAGATTTATAAAGTTCGATATAACTGGGTGATCGAAAAAATATCATTAAATTACTATTTTCTATACTGCTGGCCGATACAGAAAATACCGCACCTATAATATAACCTATTTACGAGCACTGTTATTTTATTGTATAGATTTCCTTGAAACACATTATGCACCAATAAAAATTTTATTGCACTTTCAATGCTCAAATCGATGATATTGTGTCGTGATACCGAAGCATTCTAGCATATATTGGGATTTAATTATCAATTAGCCTTTGATTGGATTCGAATTTCAAATATTTTTTAGCATTTCGAAATCAGTGCCCGTACTGAATGTTTCGTCCAATTGCCATTAGAAAGTCACTGTTTTTCCCGTTTTCCTTGTTTTTGTTTGCTGGGTCAGTCGTTTTTATTTTTAATTAACATTCACAAATTTTCGAATTGTTGAAAACTGGTTAGTCCATAAGCCAGTTTTTCGCAATTAAAAAGTTGCAAATAAATAAATGTTTGCAAAGCATATTTGTTTGGTTCTGGAAAAAAAAGGATTGCAGTGGGTTCAAAACGCCAGAATGCTCGGTTTCGACACAGTTTGAAAGAATTATAAGTCAATCCTAAGTTTCATACATTCTACAATGAGCTTCATTTTGAGAAATTTTAGACTTCTTTACAAAATATCAATTTTTAAAACCAAGGCCTTTTTTTTTTAAATTAGAATGTTGAAAATTCTGCTCCATTTTTAATTTTAATGTTATCTACATATGGACGTGTTTTTTTTCAAAACGGCTGCAGCACCGAAAGATAAAAAATAAAACAGAGATTTTTTTTTTAAGTTTGCTAAATCGGCCTTATGCCTTTCCTAAAAACAAAAAAAAATAATTAAAATATGTAAAGCAATCGAAAAATTGTAATAAGAAATTTTATATTATCCTAAATAGAAACAGAGGTTGAGGATAAGTAAAACACGTAGAGATAATAAGCTTACAATTATTTGAGGTTTTTCTTATGTTAATCGTAATTAATACAGACTAGTACTTACCATTACTTCTGTATTTTTGCTTTCACATCTACCATTCTCTCTGGTTTAAGTTATGGTATGCAATAAATACAATGTCATGGCTTTGTGTAAACAATAAATGTTCCTTAAACTGATAATGAAAAATTATTCGCTCTTAAGTATTAAAAATGTTCGAAATGTACGCTTCGACCTTTTTCTGGAGAAATATTGATATTATGACTTGAAGAGGGCTGCAATAAGAGTAAGCCAAATTCGCTCGATAGTTTACTTTTCGATTATAATTGATCAAAGTAAATAATTTTTCAAAATTAAAAGTGTATTATGAGTAATTTTATTTATTTTATTCTTTTACGCCGTTTGCTATTGCGCAGTAACGTATCCAGCAAATGTGGTGCAACTGTTGTTTAACAGTGAAATGTAGTTGATCTATCGTGGATTTAAGATTTCATTCTTGAAATTTTAATGTCTTTTTGTATAGTGTGATTTGAAGTGTACAACAATATTGTAGCATTAACAATTTTTTAAAATAAAAAAATATTAAAAAGCTAAAACATTATTTTATGCTGAATTTTATAATTGACATTAATACCTGGGTAAAACTATATATTAATGCTTGGTGTAAAATATTTGAAATAAGGCGGGGAAAAAATGGTTTTGAGTTGGTGAGTTCTTACGATGTTTGCCTCGAGCACTACGCGACTTAAGTTACGTAGAGCTGTAGGTGCGAAGTCGTGTAGCAAAGTGAACTGAAAGACATGACCAGGTTTATGGTTCATGCAAATGATTGAAAGTTATTCCGAAGATCTATACATATAAACCTCCAGAAACTTATTGTTAATCGATATTTAAAATTTCTTGTTTAATAAATTTGCTGGAAAACTTATTTTTCTTATTGGCGTAAATATATCTACTAAAATTTAAAATTATATTATATTCCAATTAATCCAGAAGGTTCTGGAGGCTGATGAGAGACGAGCGTGATAGAAGACGTTTACCCCAAGAGGATGGTGAAGGAGCCCCCGGAGGAAGGAGAACGTGTGTTGTGCCTAAGAAGACTCGGCATCACTAATCGGCGCTATAAGAACCCGCCGTCATCGGGAGCATTGTCAGCATCCGTGACTAAAACAAGAGCTGTCGATGGAGGCTGGGAAAAAAGCAGTTGCTGTTCAAGGCCTCCACGGCTCTCCAGATCACATCTCATTAGTTGGGACTTATTAACTGGAGGCATCTAAGCTTTTTCTGATCCAGCTCCAATCTCTGGCTGTTCCGCTGGCTGGAGGTAATCGCTCTGGTGTCTCATGAGTTGGTATAGTCAGTCAATTCCAGGCGATAGCTTCTCAACATCTTCCAGGGAAAGAAATAAAACCTTACAGCATCCACTAATCCAATGACGCAAAGACTATACATACCATACAATCAAAATTCTAAAACTTTCCATTTTTAATTTTACTCAACTTTAAATGACCTATACAGTAATAGTAAGTAAGGAAGAGCCGCGATCGTATTGAGTACTACAACTATCCGTCACTTGGGCATTAGTTATAGTGAGGTAGAATAACATTCACATGTACAAGAAAAAATATACAAAATAAATATAAGCAAAATAAAAATAAATAATAATCAAAAAGTATATACAATAAATAAAATAAAATAACTTAAAAATAAGAAAATTTAAACAAAGCAAAAACACATGTGTACCTGTATACACTATTTACATTCAGGCGAGAGAACTCCGAGGAAGGCTTGTCCCTCCAACTATGTAGGGAAAAGTTGGACTCCAGGAGAACTCTGCGCTACTCTCTCAACAGCATCGCTGGTATTAAAGCCAGTGGAGATTAAAATTCGATTTTAAATATGAATTTGAATTCTCTAAGTACAAATAACCAAGTATCGCAAAATCGATTCTTTTTTTTTTTTTTATTTTTTTTTATAGCAAGAGTCTAGTTCAAAAAAAGAAAAGTTGTTGAAAACTGAAATTATGTATTTATGTTAGGTATATGTCTGAGATATTACAGCAATTTTTTTTCATGGGACATTTTCGATAATTATTTTTTTTAACTTTTTCTTTTCTTGATTTTCTTGAAAACATCTCAAACGATTTCGTATGAATTCATTATAGCAACAGTTAATCATATTAACCATCGCATATATGACTCATTTTTGTATGGATTAATATTTTAAAATCTATCAATTAAATAATCTGAATAGATAAATACAAATATTGCATATCCTTTCTACTCAAATGGGAGTGAGGTAGCTCAGTGGTAGGGTACTGAGCTCCCAATGCTAAAGGTCCCAGGTCCGAATCCCGGCTCATGGCAGAAAAGTTATTTATTGGCCGTGGAGCGACCCTGGATAGGTAGACCCTCTTGGGGCAGCCTCAATAAAGTCGGTATCCTTAATAAAAATAATTAATTATGAGGAAAAACCAGGCGGTGGAGCGTGATCTCGATCAAATCACCTCCTTGCACAACCGTTGACCAAGAAACAGTGCTTTCCCTAAACAATACTGAACCCAAAGACCCTTCATGGGTTGTAGTGGTACAGGTTGTTTTTTTTTTCTACTCAAATAAATCATAAAAAATTAGAAAACGGCATTTGTATGACATTTTATATGATGCGGCCCCGTTCTCCCAGATGTGGAGGAAAAGGCAAGACTAAGAGATCGCAACGCTTCTCTCTCAGCCGCAACGCTGGGATGGGAATCCAGGGGATACAGAGAGAGGGCACTAAAGCCCTTTCTTAGCCCTGTCTTAAAATAGCTATAATTTCGAGACCTGATTGTTTTATTTTAGCACTTGTGTGTACTGAGCGTTTCATGGTTAACTGATTAAACTGCAAAAAAAAAACTAAGGACCTCAAAACAAGAAAAAAAATGTATCTGAAGGCGTGTCCGCAAATATTTTGTTTAGAAGATATTCACACCTAAAGATTTTCATTGTCATGAATCATTTACCTTATATGAAATAAATAAAACCTATTTATTTGTTCTAACTACTTTATTAATTAAATTTAAACATTAACATTCATATTAAATGTTGTTCAAAGTGAAATTATGTCCGCAAACGCTTTAGGAGTTGGATTAGATATAATACTAATTTGGCCTTTTATCCCTAACTGTATAAAAACTATTGGCAACATAAACGTTTTTATATATAGATTAAAATGTCTCAAAAACTAAAAACCGGACTTGCATATTGTTAGCAAGGGAAATGCTTATCATTTCATCGTCTTTTTAATGAGCTTCTTCTTCTTCTTTCTCTATTTCCTTTGTGCTGTTAATCGTGGAGTAGTCTCCGCCCATCTTCGGTATGGGTCCCTATCCTGGGCCTTCCTTCATCTCTCCAAGGGTCGACCCCAGCTCTCGTCTGCGTGTATTCATACCATACCAATTCATATCATGATTATTATATGTGATTCTCGGGCGTCCAACAGGTCACTGCCCCCTCGGTCTGGTCTCCATCAGCCACCTAGCTCTGCGCTCGTCCCCTATCCTGCAGACATGTCCATTTCACTTGTCCTGGCGTTCCTCTATGACATCCCCTTACATTTCTAACTCCGAGAGTATCTCTAAATGTCCTGTTCCTCTTGCAGTCTTGTCTCGTCTTTCCAGCAACTCTTCTGAGATACCTCATTTCTGCTGACGTACTCGTGAGGTATTCTCCGCCTTCTCTCTTCCTACTTGCATAATGTTGTTCTTACCAGGGTTGGTGGCGAGACCTTCTCTTGAGGTTCTCGGTCCACTCCTTCACTACAACTTGGCAGAGAATCCTCATTGTGTGCTGTCACCATTACTGCTTCTGCATAGAGGAAGCATTGGGCTTGGACGGACTCCGTATTCCAATATCCAACGATTGCTCTGGGTGCTCTTCGCTTGCATACCTTCAACATCCATGACAGTGTTAACCAGAAGTGGATCTCCTTGCTTGACTCCTTCAATCTAACTCCGCCTTTTGGATCCTGGTAAGCCGATTTAATGGCACTAATGACGTTCGGTGGTAGTCTATTCTCCTGTAAGGCAGTCCAAATCTCCTGTCTGGGAACCGTGTTCAAAGCCGAGGTCCAATAAGGCAAGATAAACATTTCGTCGTCCAATGCTTTCTCCGTAACCATTCTGAGAGAGAAGATATAGTCCTGGGTTTGTTTTGAAGACCGGAAAGCAGCTTGTTCTTTTTCCATGTTAGGTTCGACGTATGCCCTCAACCTGCTCCAGGATCCTTGTAACCTTATATACCACCAAAGAGGGGCATACGGGCCTGTAGTTTTCACACAGGGTCTCCGTGGATCTGGTCTCCCTTCTTATATACAGGTATAATTAAATTTTCTTGCCATTCCTCAGGTGTGGTCCCAGAGTTCCATATCCCCTGAAATATAATGGAGAAGTATAATATGTTCATCATTTTATCCTCTTTTTAATGAACTATTATTCAAATTTTTTTCTAAAAGGGACACTGTGTTAGAGGGGCCAAAAGGGAAAAAATAGTGTCGAAAATCAAATGATAACGAGTTTTATTGAATATTTGGATTAAAATATCTAAGAAACTAAAAATCGGTCCTGCGTACTGTAATCGAGAGCCTTGTTCAGCATTTCATCCTCTCGGTAATAGGCTATCATTCAAAATATTATCCTACCGCAACGCAGTGTTAGAGCAGCGAAAAGGAAAAAATATTGTCGAAAACCGAATGGTAACGAATTTTAAGGAAGATGTGGATTATAACATCGGACTAAAAATATCGGACATGCGTTCTGTAAGCGAGAGAAGTGTTCATCCTCTTTATTAGTGTTCCCCAAAATCGGTCTTGGTCTTGCACTTTGCAAGACCAAGACCAAGGCCCACCAAGAGTTGCATGACCAAGACCAGGGAATGCTAAAAATTTTAGTTAAAAATGAAGGCAAAATAGTTACTAATACTTGACAATCTTAGTTACTATATGTTAATAATCGGTATGACCAATTTACTTTTGCATTTAACTCCTCTAATTTTTCATTCGGGCTTAGTTAGGTTCTCTTCTATCTAAAAAAATATAGTAATAAGCTAATAAGTAACTGCAAGACTTTTGCGAGACTCTTGCGCAAGACCAAGACCATGACCAAGACTGAGTTTGCAAGACCAAGATTCCTCTCGGTCTCGCATTTGGGCAACACTACTCTTTATAATGGGCTATCATCTGAACAGAAATTATTTGTAATTTATATTTTATGTTATTAACCTAGCCTTGTTAAAGTTTTCACTTCAATTGTGTGGTCTAAAGCATACACCGTAGTTTTTTTTATATTATGACGTACTAACTAGTAGATAATTTTTTTTTTTTAAAAAATGCAGTATGGTAAAATTTAATTAAAACAAAATTTTTCTCCTGTAAAAATTTAGCAATTATTATTATTTCATTATCATTATTATATCATTATCATTATCATTACCATTATCATATCATTATCATCATCATATCATTCTATTCAATTAACATTATTTCACATTTTGGCCGACAAAATTGCACTATATTACAAAATTAAATAAATCCAATTTAAAGAAAAATTTTATTTACCAGATATTTAAAAAAGTTTATTAAAATTTGAAAGTTATTTACAGCTTTCAACAAGCAACAGATATACTATTATTGAGAGTTGTCTTAAATTTTTTTTATCGATTCCCGGCATTCACTGAGGCGTTGGAAATGCCAAGGCCATTGTGTACAGAGTCATCAGATAAGTAGGCTGACTTAATTTCTCAAATGATTTGCTAGAATGATAAAACGCAAACTAGGCAACTTTCTTCATAAATACGGACGCTTGTAAATCAAGGTTTGGACGCAAAGGTGTGCGCATGCGTTAAATTAATTACAAGTGATGAACTGTCACTGTCAGGGTAGTCGGTTGAAATGAGAAGTACTATTTAAATATTATTTATTTATTTTTTTAAAGACCTTATGATGCATCAAGTGGCGGAATAATGTTGTAGAAATTAAAATTAATTTCACTGAGAATAATATATAATAAGAGAATAAGTATATAAGTAAAACAGAGAATAATTATATTTACAACTAAACTATGTAACGTTTACCAAGAGTGCAATGTAAACATTAAACATAGCTATTATGCTTTAACTAGCTTCGACTCGCTTGTTGTCGAAGTGACACAGCGACCATAAACGTAGAATGGTGTTGTGACAGGAGGGCACACTCCACGACACCGCCATAAATAACATTTTGGAGTGGAGCTTAAATCTT